TGAGTAAAAGTAGAAGTACTCAGATATTGTGCTTGAGTAAAAGTAGAAGTACTCAGATCTTGTACTTGAGTAAAAGTAGAAGTACTCAGATATTGTGCTTGAGTAAAAGTAGAAGTACTCAGATATTGTACTTGAGTAAAAGTAGAAGTACTCAGATCTTGTACTTGAGTAAAAGTAGAAGTACTCAGATATTGTACTTGCGTGAAAGTAGAAGTACTCAGATCTTGTACTTGAGTAAAAGTAGAAGTACTCAGATCTTGTACTTGAAACATATGATATTAGAAACAACAGGACTCTGAGAACGAGGGATATTGGGAACACAGAACCCAGGAAGCATAGGACCATATATAAGAGTTGGAAGAAGTACTCAGATCTTGTGCTTGAGTAAAAGTAGAAGTACTCAGATCTTGTTCTTGAGTAAAAGTAGAAGTACTCAGATCTTGTACTTGAGTAAAAGTAGAAGTACCAGAGTGTAGGAATACTCTGTTACAGTAAAAGTCCTGCATTCAAAATGTTCCTCAAGTAAAAGTATCAACATATAGTGAAAGTAGCGACAGTAAAAGTAGTCATTGTGCAGATTGGTCCATTTCAGAATAATATATATGATATGTTTTATAATGATTGATCATGAAAGTGTTCTCAAAGCTGGTAAAGGTGCAGCTAGTTTGAATGACTTTGTTTACTGCAGGGTAGCTTGTGGATTTACTCCAGGTGGAACTAAAGTCTGATTTAACACTTGATTAGATTTCACATCATTCATCCACATCTGTAAAGTAACTAAAGGGATTAAATATATGTAGTGGAGTAAAAGTACACCATTTACCTCTGAACTGTAGTGTAGTAGAAGTACAAAGTAGCAGGAACATATCTTGGCATTTATAGTGAAAAAACCACAAAACACAATTCCACAATATCACTAAAGATCTCCTAATACTCACACAAACACAAGGCAAGTTTATTCATACAGCACCTTTCAACACAAGGCAATTCAAAGTGCTTTACAAACATGAAAGACATTAAGAAACATATTATAAAATGACATTTAAAAAACACTCATTTAAAAGCAAAGATAATAAAACATGAATAACAAAGGAACATCAATTAAAGTGACGGTGCAGTGTGAGATACACACATCTGAAATGTTTAGGTCTGAGTCTCAATCATTGCTCACTTTTTAGCAGAAATCGTTTTCTTTGACCTCACTTTCTTTCTACTTTGTTGTTTAACTTGTCCTTTAGTTATTTCAAGTGTTTCATGCTAAACGAACCCCCCTTTGGAAAATTATTATCTGACCCCATGGTACCTTTTAGTTATTTTTAAAGGCACATAGACAAACTCCAGGTCCTCACTTACAAAGCCCTCCACCATCTGCCCCCCCCCCCTACCTCACAGACCTCCTCATCCTCTACCAACCCCCCCGGTCCCTCAGATCCACCTCAGCCGGTTTGCTTTCCATCCCCAAGGCGAAACTCCGGAGCTTCCGGGACAGAGCCTTCTCTGTGGCGAAGCTCTGGAACTCCCTCCCCCAAGACCTCCGTGAGTCTGAGTCCCTCATCCTGTTCCAGTCCCGCCTCAAAACCCACCTCTTCAACTCTGTATATCCATAAGCCCCCCCCCCCCTCTCAACCAACTTCCTCCTGACTGCTTTTCTGTTTTGTTTTGTTTAGTTGTTTTTGTTTGTTTTTGCCTGTCCTTCTTTGTCTACCTTCCCTCATAATGTAAAGCGTATTTGGGTTAAAGAAAAGCGCTATAGAAATATAATTTATTATTATTATAGTTAAGTTTACCTTGTCTTTCTAGGACTTTTTTGGTGTCCTCCGCGAACCAGGGTCTTGAAACCAAAACGGCACACGTAGGGGACTTTAACCCCAATAATGACTTTAACTACCTACGGGGGGACTCGACAAGGCAATTCAAAGTGCTTTACAAAAATGAAAGACATTAAGAAAATGGCATTGAAAAGCAAAGATAATAAAAGTTACAGTGCAGTCTAAGATGTGAATAGTTCAATTAAAAGCAGCGACAAAAAGAAAAGTCTTCAGCCTGGATTTAAAAGTAGTCAGAGTTGCAGCGGACCTGCAGGTTTCTGGGAGTTTGTTCCAGATATTTGGAGCATAATAACTGAACGCTGCTTTACCATGTTTAGTTCTGACTCTGGGGACAGAAAGCTGACCAGTCCCTGAAGACCTGAGAGATCTGGATGGTTCATAATTTAGCAGGAGGTCAGAAATGTATTTTGGGCCTAAACCATTCAGTGCTTTATAAACCAGCAGCAGTATTTTTAAATCTATTCTTTGACACACAGGAAGCCAGTGTAAAGACTTCAGAACAGGAGTGATGTGATCCACTTTCTTAGTGTTAGTGAGGACTCGAGCAGCAGGCGTTCTGAATCAGCTGCAGCTTTCCTAATAGATGTTTTAGTGAGACCTGTGAAGACACCATTGCAGTAGTCGAGTCTACTGAAGATAAAAGCATGGACAAGTTTTTCCAAATCCTGCTGTGACATTAGTCTTTTAATCCTAGATATATTCTTTAGGTGATAGTAGGCTGATTTAAGTAACATGTTTTAATGTGACTGTTGAAACTCAGGTCAGAGTCCATGACTACACCTAGATTTCTGGCTTTATCTGTTGTTTTGAACATTGCAGACTGAAGCTCAGCGCTAACTTTTATACGTTCTGCACACACACACACACACACACACACACACACACACACACACACACACACACACCACACATGCACACACACACGCACACATGCACACACACACACACACCATGTATACATCACTTCAGGGGACATTACATTGACTTACATGCATTTCCTGGAGACTTATCCTAACCTTAACCATAACCAACACATGCCTAACCCTAACCCTTACCCTTAACCTAAACCTAACCAAGTCTTCACCCTAAAATTAATGATTCCCCTCATGGGGACCTCCAATTTGTCCCCATAAGGGAGGCGAGTCCCCACACGTGACTGTGTAAACAGATGTAGGTCCCCACAAGTATAGTAATGCTAGGTCACACACACACACACACACACACACACACACACACACACACACACACACACACACACACACACACACACACACACACACACACACACACACACACACACACACACACACACACACCCTCCCCCTAAAAGCCTGTTATTCTCACTGTAACAGAACAGGGCACACTGACAGCTTTTCTTATTGCAATAACCATTTATTGTTCTCGTCACACAAATCTTCACAAAAACAGAGGGTTTTCTGCAACAGGATCAAAGGAATGGTTTTCCTCCCTCAGAGCTGCAGATCTGAAGGATCTGTTTTCATTTCTCACGTCAATCAGCTGTTTGTTCTCTGATTTAAAACACGAGTCACGGCAGACTTTACAGGAAAGTAAGCTTACTCCGACCTGAAGAGAAGATTTCTGTTTGTCTTTCCCTGTTTGGATCTCACTCCGACATGTCTCTCTGTCCATGTGATGCATTTGAATATTCTGTTGGTTTCCATTGAGGTTATTTTAAGGCATTTCTGCTTCATGGAGAAAGACTGGAAAGCAAACAAAGGAAAAAACGCAATCATGTCCTGCTGCAAATGTCATACTCAAATTCACAACTATGTGTTTTGACTTCTTGAGCTCACCAGAATGTCCATGATTTTAACGTGAAGTCAAAGTTGAAAATGCATCTTTTCCACATGAGATAAGGATAATATGTGAAGGTAACTCAGCTCTTACTCTTGATGGTTGTGCTGCACATGGTTGTTGCTCTGTGGAAATACTAGTACCATAACAACAAAAACATACCAATTCCTAAATGTTACGTTTAATGAAATGTGGATGTGAATGCAATTTTCGGTCTTTTATTTTGTCCCGGCGCGTTCACGCTCTTGTGTCCGCTCAAGGCAAGGCAAAGACAGACTATGGATATTTTGGATCCATTTATAACAACATATCTAATAAAACCTTCTGACAGTAACATGTGACTTTTTGTGCAATTTGTCTGTTTGAGCAACGAACTCTTGACTTGATCTGACAAAAGAAATCCCCATAATGTTAAAGTTAACCCGTCAGATTTAAGCCAAACGCTAATTTTAAAATGTGAAATCTTTAATTTAATCTAACG